AATTCGTTTTGGTTTGATTCTAATGCCTTTCGCCAAATTGTTTGAAGCTCAGTTGCATAGCTATTCTGTGAAGGTAGCTAGATTATAAAAGTGGACTGTATACTTTGGCGTCCATAGGGAAGAGTCCCCATGCTTTATTGAAGACCGCCATAATGCCACTTAAAGATTGACATTTCGCACGTGACTATAATTTTAATGGAGTGAATTGGAAATTGTACGCATAAACTTCTTCCAAAGCTCGCTGCTTTGTGATTATAACGATCAAAGTAATACTTACGAAGACTTCTTTACTTATGGATATTTTGTATGCGCTTTTATGGAGCAAATCAATCCATTCTCTTTCCGTTTGATTTTTGAAGCGCAATTGGAGAACATGCGCTTCACAAATCAAAATCGCAGCAACAGCTTATGAATGTTTGTTTTAGTCGTTAGTTTTTCGAAGGTATTGCTTTCGTTGTCAAAAGACCGATCGTGTCAGATTTATTAAGTTTTTCATCATCAGTTATAGAGCGAAACTTGATGAGCATATTGGATTGAGTGGATCTTTACGGTGACAGATATTGCGATTGATATAAGAAATCGAAAATGCACACGCCTGCCCGTCTGGTACTTTCAGAAGCTGGACCGCCAGGACGCGATGGCCAACCAGGATTGGATGCACTGCCTGTGCCAGTGTTTGACTATCGCAAGAGTGGCTGCATTCGTTGTGAACCAGGACCGCCCGGTCCACAAGGACCACCTGGGCCAGTTGGACCACCGGGGACCATCGGACGTCCCGGACCCCCTGGACAAAATGGTGGGCAGGGTAGAATTCCGGGACCACCCGGACCACCTGGCGAAAGCGGACCCAGAGGCGTGTAAATTTGATGATTTAGTCAGAAAAATCTTCCAAACAATCATTGTTACAATGGAGTGATGCGCAAATTGTGCAAGTGTTCATTGACTCGATGTCATCATCTGGCTAAGCTTCAAAGTCACAAGATGTGTGATTCGAACGATCACTTTGCAGGTCCCGATGGTCCAGTAGGTCCACCAGGACATCCCGGAGCAAATGCGATGTTGTCGTCAAGCCAGCGTGGCCCCAAGGGTCCACCAGGACCTCCAGGACCGGTTGGCCGACAAGGAATTCCTGGAGTGGCTGGTTTCCCGGGCTACCCAGGCGCACAAGGTCCTCCAGGGATGCCAGGACGCCAAGGCGCTACTGGACCACCAGGTCCTGCCGGCCCTGTAAGTTCCACTATAAGCGTTTCTATCAAAAT